AAGGGAGAGAGGAAGTTAGAGTGAGATAATTCCCATAAGAAAAAGGCAAACACACTGATATACTTCCTCACAAGGAAGCATAAAAAAGAAAGCTATGAGAACCAGATAGCCCCCATAAATATTAAAGCATGGAAGGCTTTAAAAATAACAGATAGGCCACTGCCCTTGAACACAAGCATGCACCATTGTTACATACATGTTCATCATCATCATCATCATCATCATCATCATCATCATCATCATTATTTCAATTTATATTCTGCCTTTCTGCCTGGGAACGCTCATTCCAAATTCACATAGGAGGTTGTTGCTAACTTCCTTACATTTTGCCTTCATGGCTAATTAAAATAAAAAAATAAATTGCATCTAGAAACAGACAATTTTACCTCTGAATATCCACGTAGAAAACAGAGTGTTACAGATGCATTAATTAAATGCATACTCTTAATTTCAGCCACAGTCGCTCCCAAGAAAGCTTAGGATGAAGGCAAACTCTAAGAATCTGCAATTAAATAAATTGGCAGAACAAACCTATTTGGATTTACTCAGAAGGAATCCCAGCTGGGTTCCATGGGATTTGCTGCCTACGTAAGGCTGAACAGGTTGCAGACCTAAGTAATAACATTCTGAAGGTGGTTCTGCGTGGAGGCATTTAGACGCTGGTGGCTCCTCCCATTCCCAGATCTCTCAAGCCAGCTTTATCCCAGTGGAATACTTCCAACTACAATGGCCACGATGGCTGAGAATGATAAGCATAACTGGAAGAGCAATTAATCTAAATGTTTCACCTTACGTCTCTCCTCTTTCTTGGTTATCCCTCCTCCCCCATTTACACATTTTGATTTAGAAATGGACTTGGAAGTGGATTATAGCTTCCGCTGTGTCTCGAATGGCAAATATATTTCAAACATATGCACCCTACAAAAAATACTAAGTTTGAAAGTACAGGATTCTGGGTTTTAAAGCTGGGATCCGAAGTCTAAAAATCAGTTAGACTCTTCGTGAGAACAGTTCATTGGGAATTGAGTTGAGTCAACTACCCTACGTGCCAGACTCAACACTGGGATAGTCATTTAACTTTCTTGCATGCTGTTTTCACAGATCTGTTTTTACCTGTGCTTTCGTACTCCACGTACAGCTTTACATGCCATGTTGTCTTAAGAACATTGGTAATACTCACACTTGAGACTTAATTCGCATACACAGGCTTACATTCACTTCACAAGTATCTAAACTCACTTTCAGATGCATAGGAACATGCATTTGAGTGTACATGCACAATTACTCATTCCACTAGTAAAGGAACAGCAATTAATGGAATTCCGGCCTTCTTTTTTGCATTCACACAACCAATATACCCAAGCAATCTGGCTCTTGAACAATAATCACCTCAGCACAAAGGTTGTTGACAATGCACATGCACACATGTGATAGCATTTTCATGCTTTTCATTATTGTAATTGGCCAGACTGGTTCTCCCCTATGTACAGGTCACTTGATGAGAGAGAAAGTTGGTGCTTAGCAGTTGAATGTGTGAACTCTTCATCGGGTAACATTGCATTTCAAATATATGGAAGCTTCATCTGTGATGTTCTCTTTGTTATGGCTTATTCACACATTGAGGCCACTGCCTTACTTGATGCTGAGACATCAAGCAATGTATGAGCATGCATCAAAAAGGGTTGCAGAGTCCCTTGTGTGCAGGCATCTCTTAGAAAACACTTTCCCTCATTTTCAAAACGACACAGCTGCAGCCTTATGAACTGATATGCAGCCTCTACATTAAACACATTGGAACTTACTTCTGAGCAAACTATGCAGGGTCATGTCTGAGAGACGTTTTACAAACATCTAATTGCTGAGGTTGTGTAGATGCATGTTTAATGCAATCAGGTTAAGCATTCATTGGCTAAAATTCCCCATTTCCTCCCAACTGATCTTCAAAGACCCCAAAATCCAAGCACTGGCCTAAATGTGAACATGGACCTCTCGAGGCATTCTCCCATCTAGATAATGAGCAGATCCAGATGTGCCTAGCCTAACACCAAGGGGGTTGCATTACGTGCCTTTAGACTCAGGATAGGTTGTGATATAAGAGAAAATGTGGTTGTTTTTTTAAAAACAGTTTGTATAAATCTGGAGAAAAAAATACAAGCAGATTCAGGCCAAGAGAAATTGCCTGAGAATATAGCCTAAATCTCCCTTATGCACTCATACAAACTTTCCTATGTCCCTCCCCCATTTTCACCCCACCTTGTTATCCCAACTTCTTTAATCCAATAAGTATAATGAAGTCCTCATTCCTAGCCATGCCAACTCTCTTCTACTCCTGAGGGACATCCCACACAAAGATACACACACACACACACAGGGAGGGAAGTGGGCAGAGCGTGTTTTTCCCAGCTTGGCAGTTTTGAGATGTGTTGGAATGCAACTATGGCTGCACTGACAAATTTAGATCAACATACCTGAAGGACACGGACTAGGTGAAGCTAGCAGGATTGTGATTTGAGGGTAGTTGAGCTACATATAGAAGGGAATCTTTGAAAAACTAGTCAAAACCAATGTGTACAGGAAAGAGAAGAAGGGAAGAACTGGAGATCAGAGGCTGTGGATCTGTGGGGCAGGGGTGTACCAATAGCAGCAGAGGTCATGAGAAAGAGGACAAAGGAAGGGGCCAAGGGCCAGATACATGGGCCCCGCATAGAATGGAGGGTGCAAGAAGAAGTACAGTTTCAGTTTGGCCCACTGTGAGGAGTAATAAGAGGCCGGATTCACCACTAAGAGAAGAGACCTGTAAGATCTCTGTAGGGGAAGGAGAGGTAGAAAAAGCTACCCCAGGGCTATCAAGATGAAAGAAGGATTGCAGAAAAGTCACTGAAGGAGAGGAGGACTAAAAGGGCTACAATAGGCAGTTAGTGGCTAGGTTCACACAACAGACAACTTGGTTACTGAATTAATCCATTTTCTGGATTTGCACAATTCACTGAACCATAAACTAACTAAACAGGCTGGGTTTTCACAACACATGAAAAAAACCAACTAAGATTTTTGAAATACTAACTAGGCTTAGTACGCGGTGCAGTCTTTAACTGCTTACGCATGTTGTGTGTGCCCAGCCAATGAGGATTATCCGGAAAACATGCTAGGATCTTCAAGGGAAATCTGGTCAAGTATAGGAGAAACAAGGCAGAGGGAACACAGGGGTCACAGAGGCACAGGGAACTCCGGCGGAGGGAACCGTGGGCAGCTCTGCTGTGGAATGGCTGCATGGAGGCAAACCAGAGTGTTTGTTTAAGACAGTGCCACGGGCCACGGAATCAGCAGATTGCATGGGCCAGGGCAGTATTATTCCAGAGCCGGCAGGGAAGGGGCATAGAAGAAGACAGGAGGTCTTGGGGGAGGGAGAAGAACCAAAAAAGAACAGAAAATAAACCGTGAAAAATGGCTCAGCAAGGGGAAGAGAGGAGGAGGGAAGGAAAAGTGAAGGGAGGGAGGGGACAGGGGAGATGAAAGGGGAAATATGGACAAAGGCAGTGGAAGGGCAGTGCAGGCCAAGCAGCAAATTCCAAAGAGGGGAAGAGGGGAAGAAGAGGAAGAGGAAAGGTCCAGAAAGATATGTTGAAGGGAAGCCAAAGAAAGAGAAAAGGACAAAGAGGAAGAAGAAACAGAAACAAATGGGAGGAGCAGAAAGTTTGATGTCTGGAGGACTGAGTTAAGCAGGGAATGGAGGGAAAGGCAGCCAGCAGGGAGAAGGCGAGATTTGCTCCCACCTGGGGGGACTCAAGCAGGGGTCAGTTTTGCCTTGCTCCTCCACAGGGGGCTGTTCGTCCACCCTCCCGCCCATTAGGAGGAAGAACCCGGGAGCCTCTCTCTTCCATCTAGGAAAGCTTATCCCTAAGTGATTCCCACCAGCCAGAAATGAAGGAACACAGGGAAGAGCGAGAGGGGATGAAAGAGAAGAAGGAGCAGAGAGGAGGCAGGGAAGCAGGGGAAGGAGCATGGCTGTGGGATACAAGAGACCAGGCAAAAGCGGGGGGGGGGGAGAGGGGGATGCAATCTAGGTAGGAACCAGGGAGAGGAGAAATGGGCAAAGAGAGAAGGAAGCCCTTAGTGGTTTCAGAGGAAAAGGAGAAAATCTTTAGAAGACTGGGGGAAAGGCAGAGAATGGAAAAATGAAGAACCAAGAAGTAAAGGAGGGAGGCAGGGTGAGGAAGTAAGGAAGAGAATAAATGAATGAATGACAAGACGGAGTGGAAAAGAAGGGAGGGAAGAAAGTAAGAAAAAGAAGGGAGAGAGGGAGGAGGGAGGGACGGAGGGAAGGAAGGACAAGACTGAATGGAAAAGAAGAAAGTAAGGAGGGAGAGAGGAAATGAATGAAAAGACTGGATGGAAAGGAGGAAGAAAGGGAAGGAGGGAAGAAAGGAAGGCAAAGGAGGAGATGAGATGGGAAAAGTAAGAGAGACAAGAGACGAAGGGGTGTTCGAAGGGCTGAGGTACGCCAGAAACAGAGCCGCATGATGGCAGGATAGCGCATACGGAGGCTGCGAGGGTCCCCATCGAGGTCACCGGCTTTCGGCAGAGGGGATCCCGAGTGGCATAGAAACTGGCGTGGGGGGCACGGGCTGAGGAAGGGGGAGACACAGCAGAGCAGAGGGGGACCACGCGAGCGCAGGAGCGACCCTCCGGGCTGAGGCCAGGCTGGCCGTCCAGGAGAGACGGGCCGGTGGTGGCCGAGGGGGAGCGGCGCAGGTGGCGCGC